GAGGAAGTGCTGTGCACACCTGATGGCCCTACAGAGCCAGGCAAGGGCAGAGGAAGTGCTGTGCACACCTGATGCAGGCGAGGCGCTGGCGCAGGTCCCCGATGGTGTCGGTGAAGAGCATCCTCACAACGTGCGTGTGCTCCCCGCTCTCACACCTGACACGGAGAGTGCAGACTCCAGGGACAGGGGCTTCAGCCTCTTCAGTCATCTTCACCCTGGTTAGAAAACCCTGTCAGCCAAGGAGTGAGCTCCACTCAGTGGGCAGAACCTCCAGGATGTGCTGGTGAGGTCCAAACAGGGGAGAGGGAATGTTCTAGAGATGAATGAGGCCCCACCTGACTGCAGGCAAACAGACCAACCTGCTGCCCAAACTGCTGCTTTGCTTTCCCTGCCTGAAGGTGCCTTGAAGAGGGTTGTTGACCTTTTTTAACTTTTCCATTTTAAATCAGGGCTGTCTGGTAAGTGCTTCGCCCTACTTCTCTGATTAAAAATAATCTGCTTGGGGTTTTTTTTCATTAGTTATTTGGGTCTTGGCTTGCCAGAAGACTGAGTGGAAAAGTGCTGTTAGTGAGACCTCCCACTTGGGCATCAGTTTCTTGGAGGGATTCCCCCATATAATGTGACTGCAAACTGCTTTTTCAGTGGTTTTGAACATTTAGGCCTTGGCTTGTTGTTGGGAAAACTATTTCAAAGAAATAAGTGAGATTTTGAACAACAGAAACTTTCTGTTAGAGATGCAGGTTTGCCATGAGAAATTCAGTGTTCTTCCCAAATGACCAAACTTGGCCTTTTTTTCTAATTATTTCTAAGGTCTAAAAGGGGAAAGTCCATTTACTTCCTCAGCTGAACCCCCCGAAATGGGAGGGTGATGCAGTGATGAAATAGGAGGAGGAAGAGGAGGAGATCCTGACAGGGCAGGGGTTGGGGGGCTGTACCTGTACCTCTCCGGGGTAGCCAGCCTGGGTGTCTCCACCAGGGTCTCTTTGAAGCTCTGCACCCCATCAGAGCCCTGAAACCAAACCAGGTGAGTGTCAGCACTGCCCAGAGAGCAGCCAGTGCCAGGACAGCCCAGAGGCAGGTGCCGAAGTGCCACGTGTGCTCTGGTGGAGCCTCTCTGGGAGGAGGAGATCACATGGAGCTGAGAGAGGCCTGAGGAGGGGGTGGTGGTGCTGTACAGGGTGCTGAGCCCAAGGAATCACTGCTGCCCCTCTCCTGTGGGTGTCTGGGGGTCCTCTTGTACCTGCTGTGCTGCTCCAGTTGAGTCCTGGACACCAACCACTCCTCCTCCATGTTCCAGGGCCTTGGGAAGCTCGTTGGGAAACTGTGCCAAGGAGGCTTTGGGACCTGCCAGAGCAGAGGGGAGATATGTCCATGTGTGACTTTCTTGACAGACATTTTGACCCCAGAATAGGCTGATTTGGTGAAAGGAGAGCACGCAGCAGCCGACAGGGAGAGCTCTCACCACCCCCAGGGAGGCTGAGACTCACTCTCGGATTCCTCCCTTGAAGTTTGTCCCACTTTCTGGCCCACTAAATGTCTGATTGTCAACATCAACAGTGAGAACTGCACAGCCTGTTCAGCACAGCTGGGATGCACAGTGGGTAGAAACCTGGATAGCTCTGCTGTGAAAACCTGAAATTATCACCATTTTTTACAGTCTTGGACGTTTCACCTTGTATTTGTTGGTATCTACTTCTTTTTGTTTGGAAAATTATTTTTTCTTGTTACTACTTAGATAAAGGGAATATTTAGCAGAGCTTCTGTTTGGGAATAGCCTTGAGATGGATGAGCAAGCAGTTCAGCTATAGGTAACCAGGCAGCTGTTGCTGATGGGAGATGCACATATTGGGTTATTTAGTGATGCACACACAAACCCACTGAGACTGACTGAGTCTGACTTCCCAATCCTGACAGGTATTGCTTATGCAGACTGTGAGAGTCTAGAAGCAAAATGAGGTATCTGTGGCCTGACCTTATGTCCCATATTCTGTTATGAAAGTCTGAAGAGAAACTGTCCCATATTCAGTACAGTTACGGTTGATGTGGCTTGAAGATATCTGCATTTATGGAATGAGGCTATAGGAGAGCAGAGGGTTTTTTGCCAGCAAATCCCTCCCTCAGCCTTTGTTGGTGGTAAAGGTGAAGGTAGAAGAAGCTTGGCCTTTCAGAAGGGTGCAGGGCAGATATGTTTTGGAAACCTGCTGAATTTCTGGTAATTTATTACTCATCACTTCTCATTCTTTAGGAGATGAATGATGAGAGGACACTGTGTGTGCTGCCTGGCTCCCAGCTCCTGAAGCAACACCAGGCCCTGACCCACAAGTGTTGCCTTCCTTGCTGATACAACCCCCAACACCCCTCCTTTCTGCTGCACTGCCCTGGTAAGGTTTAAAAGTTCTCCCCTTTGAAAATTAGCTGCATTTTTGAGGCAGGCTTAAGATTTTACCTGGGATCTCGGTGGTTTCCTGCACTTGGTTTGATTCTGAATGACCAACTATTTGTCCATGGCCAGGAAAACTCCTTGGAAGGTCCCTCTCCTCAAATACCACGTCCCTTCTGTCAGTGACCTGTTGAATTAAGTCCACCTGCCATAAGCAAATCTGACTGTTGCACAAGCTTCTCTTGCTGCATCAGAGCACGATAAACCACAGCAATGACACCCAACAATCATAAACCCCAAACAAAACCAATGATGCACAGGTTAAAAGGAACCTCAGCCCCAAGAGCTTTGCACAATCCTCCTTCCATGTGACTTTCTAACTTCCACAGCTCCCAGCTCACTCCAGCTGGACTGACCTTGTCTTGCCCCTGCAGCTGTGCCCTGGTTTCTTCGTGGCAGTGGGTAGGTCCAGCCTCTGGCTGTTCCTTCTTACATTTCAGATGCACTCAAAGCCCTAGATTCGAGTCCTCTGAGGCTTTCTGCCTGCAAATGTGGCCTTGGCTCTTTGCCATTTCTAAGAAATCAAAAAGTGGGGCCCAAAAGAACCTCAGGTGGCCAAAACCATTTAAGGTGTGCAAAATGAACTCTCATGACATCCTCTTGGAGAGACACTTGTTCAATCTGGTTTTAAAAGCTTTTCCAGGGGAACCATTTGAGAACTTTCTTTTTTTTCCCTTTGGGTGACACAGCTCTTCAGATGCTGCACGTGCTACTTCTCTTACAGAGCCTGCTGTGCTCTTAGAAGCCTTGTTCCAAGCCAAGATTCACTGAGGCAGAGAAACCCTTCAGTGCTGATGCAGAAACACTGACTCACTTCCTCTAACGGCTGTAGCAGGTGTGCTCCCCACCACCCTTTCCCTCAGACACATCTGCACAGCATCACAAACCTCAGACTCAATCCAGCAGAGTGATGAAAGAAACCTGAACAGTTTTCTTGGGAAGCAAGAGAGCAGTTTCTCCCCAAAAACCTGGTGAAAAGGGTTTGGCACTTACCTGCAAAGGGACACCATCGGGGTAGCGCTGCTGCAGCTCTGAGGGGAAATACCCATCCATGATGTCCTGCAGGCATTGCTGAAACAACATGAGAGCTCATGGTCACACCACAGACTCTCTGTTTAGCTCAGGACTGATCTTTCTGCTGGGCTGCTCCTATTTGTGGTGTTATGGCCACACAGAGAAGTCAGAGGCACAGAATCTCACCTCTAAAAATTACTGCACAGAGACATACAAGCCTTTCAAGGCACTGTGGGAATGTGAGGTGAGGAGCTGGGCTCCTTTTTGGGACTGAGATGAGCTCAAAAGCCTTATTGCCTTTCCTGGGTCTTAGTGAAGGATGGCAGGATGGCTCTAATTCCCTTCCAGACCTTTCTGTACCTGTGTGGATGGGTCCTGGTAGGGCCGGAAGGCTCCGTTGCACATGACGATCCCATTTTGGTACAGGGTGAGAGGGATGGGTTCTGGCTGCTTCAGCCGAGCCCCCTGGAGTGTGTGCTTGATTTGAGGACTGCCTTCTCCAGCCAGCAGGTTCAAATATTTAACGTTCTCCAAGATTAAATCAAAATCAATCCGGTGTTTGGGAACAACTGCTTCACCTGTGGCAGAGGGATCGGAGTTACAGGGGGAAAGGGGTGGCAGCAGAGCAGTTTTATCTGTATGAATCTGAGGTGTGTTTTGAGCCCTGACATTTTCACATGTTTGCAGAGTGTGGTGCAACACTTGTGCTGTGGTGCAGCGCTGCCAGGTCCACCCGGGTGTGGGCTAAACCACAAGGGCAGGGCAGAGGGTGCAAACTCACAGGGCTCCAAGCTCAACCCCTTGCCCTGTTTATCACTTCAGAAGTGTTGTGTTGTCCCTGCACAATGCACGGGGAGGAATTTCACTAGTTGGATTAGCTAGATTGGATCAATGGATCAGGGCAGAGGTGCTGAAGAGGTGTCAGTGTAAACACAGGCAGCTGCCTGCATCAGCAGGTTGGGCAGGGACACAGTGAGGACGTTTTTCTGGGTGCTTGAAGGTGGCAGGGTGAAGCAGTGAAAAGGTTGTGATGGGGCAGAGGAATGAAATCAGAAGGGGAAATGAAAGAGAATATGTAGATTGAGCTAAAGCCCTTTGTATTGTTGTTCTGCTTCTTTTATGATTTGCTAAAGGAGGATGGGGAAATGCCCTTAAAAAGGGTCAGTGAGCTGATATCAAAACTATTTCTACTGGTTTCCATCTGTCCGTCCCCTCCTGCATCTAAGGGTGGGGAGGTCTAGTTAGCTAATATTTGCCTGGTGGTTAGGAGGCAGTATTGCCTCTACAGCCCAAGTATTCTTCTTTTTTTTCCTCTGTTACCACTTCCTAAGAAGCCCTTGCCAAACATGCTTGGACCCCACACAGCAGAGTCAGGTCTCAATTAAACCACTCACGTGGTAGTTGGGAGGAAAGGCAAACAATACTCCCTGGTGGAGCCAGACAATGTGGGTATGTTACTACAACTGCTGTGTACACAAAGCACCTGATTCCGTTTTCCACCCACTTTACGTCAATATTATTAAAGCAATGAAGCTTCAAACAGTGCAGGGTATGTGAATTCTGCAGGAAACAGCTGCTGTGAGGTCCTCCCAAAGGGCTGAGCCATCAGGTTCTCTCCTGAAGAGCTTACAAAATTTAGGTGTATAAAATCAAACCTCCTGCTTGGCTTAGCTCCTGCTAGGTCACTCCATGTCCCTGTCCCTGGGGTGGATTGGTATGAAGATCTTGGCACAGGATCACAAATTCTGAAGGCCCAGATCCTGGGTCTTTGGTGCTTACCTGCTCCACCTTCTCTAAGCAGGCAGTGGGAGCTGGGATAGCTGCTTCAGCCAGGGGTGCTGGTGTTTTACCTGGCTTCCAGAGGCTCCTTGGTAGCAGCTCCTCTTCATCCCCGAGAGATTCTGTGTCTTCCAGCTGATCCCGTGTCTCTCCAACCCAAATCAGACCATAGTCATTCAGAAATCGCTGAGAGGGGAAAGTACAGGTCAGTGCTGTAGAGCAGAGCTTCAGAAAACTAGAAGTGGTAGCCTGAGTGTGGTGAGTTGTGACTGTGAGAAGCAGAAAGAGAGGTAAAAGAGGTTTGTCTTGGGGGTTCCTTGGCCCAGACAGACAGACTCACTGACAGGGCAGTAGTAGCAGCTCCACTAGTAGTAGGCAAAAGGGAGGAGGAAAGCATTTGTAGTGACAGTGTAATCTCTCAAGACTGTAGGAGCCACAAAGAATATTTCTACAGTCCTGGAAATCAAAATGACGAGGTTTGCAGGAGGCACAGATGTCTGTGTGTTTAAAAAGCCTCCTCCTGCCCCGTTGCTGACATCCAACCTGCTCTCTCTTTCCAGACTGAGGTGAAGAATTGTGATGACCAAAGTGGCAGCTCGGAAAAGGCCAAGCAGCCTGGGACTGCAGCACTCTCAAAGTGAAGGTGCAGATGGCTGAGGGCAAGAGAGGCTGGTATCTCACCTCCATCTCACAGACCTGGGTCTGCAGCTGAAGGCACCTCACTTCCAGCTCTTCCAGGGTGGATGAGTCAGGAGCACCTGAAAAAGAAGAGCTGATGTTTCTGTGCACAGCCTTAAAAGAAGAGCTGTAGATAAAACCTGTGTCACACAGCACAGACCCCCAGCAGCACCCTGCCTGCACTGTGAGTGACCTCAAGCGTGACACAGGAGCTGAACACGAGCTTTGAGTGCTGGACTCTGACAATTCAGCCTGCAGTGGTTTGACAAGGATGATGACAGACCAGGAGATAGCTGTGAACGACACTGGCCAAGTTTTATGCTGCAGGAAGCTGATGTGAGTGGTGCTGTTGGCAATTGTGCAATGAAAACTGCTTGGCTTCCTCAGCCCATTAAGAAAATGAGCAGGTGTCCACTAAAGCTGGGTCCAGAAATCTTGGCTGGGTGGCAGCACAACGCGTGGTGAGGCACAAACCACACATGATTGTGGTTTGACAGGCACAGTCGTGTTTTTTCACTCAGGAAATGGAGAATTTACCACAGCTTTGCACTAACAAGGTAGTTCAGCCATTGCAGAAAACGTGTGTGGGCTCAGTTGGAGAGCTGTTGGATTCCAAGGAGCTGAATAGGGGAAAAGACCTTCGGTGACTCACTTAAAGCTGGGTTCAATTTAGAGTTAGGCTGTCTTGCAGGACAAGTGAGCCTGGACCTGTTGGAGACTCCAAGCAGATTTTTGGTTTCTCTCAGCTGTAGCTGTTTTCCTGCCTGTTTGAACTCTGCAGTGTTTACTGATTTTTTTGTTTTTTTTTTTTTCTCCTGGCCATCCTCGGGTGTCTGGGTGGTTGGTTTACACTCATGGAAACTTAGTAACCCACAGAAAATAGGCCAGGAAATGACGATTTGTGCTGCACCAGAAAAAGCCGAGTAACAGATGCGAGTTAAAGTGCAGATCTGCTTTAGGAAATGGCACCAGTGTGGCTGGTACCTCTCACCAAAGAGGCCCCTGGGCTTGGGAGCCAAGGACAGCTCAGAGAGGAGCTCTGTTGCAGCACCAGGAGCTCTGTTGCCCTCCCAGAGGTGCCAAAGGTAGATCAAGTTTTACCTTCCCCTTCCTGAAGAGTCTTTATCTTCTCCTCGAGTTCAGCAATCCTCCTGTCCTGCAGGGACAGAACAAATAATGACCTCACTTAGTTCCTGGGCCTCAGGGCCTCAAGGTAGAGTTGGCACAATTAGTCCTGGGTGAGTCTGGTGCAGGTACTCCCACCCCACTCAGAGACAGGCAAAACAAGGGTCAGAAGGGCTGAATCACCTCACAGACACCTTATTTAGGCTCAGGTGAGGGGTGGGATAAATAAAGAACTCCAGGAATAGGTGACCTATCTCCCAGTCCTCCATCTGCAGGAGAGCTGTGGGCACACACAGGCTCCTGTGCTTCCTGCTGAGGGGCTGCTCTGGAGGCTAAAGCAGAATCTCTGCAGCCACTTCTTCAAAAATGAAACAAAACAGGGTATTTATTCTAAGCTTTTAAAGGGTATTTATTAAAGGGTATCTATTCCATTCAGTAATGCAGGGAGGTCTGCTCTGGGATGACTCTGCTGTGTGAGCAGCTGCTGTTTCAGAAAACAAAAGGAAGGGGGAAAAATAAAAGGTCTGAAGCCAAAGAGCTGCTGATATTAGTGCCAGAGTGCTGGAAGTCACTGCTGTAATCCCCTCTCCCACCCCAAGGCCTGATCCAATTGCTCTGTTGCTTTGCAAAGGCTCCTTTGGGTAATTAACAGAGCAAGCCACAGATTAACTTCTTTTAGCCCAAACAAGGTCTGAGCAGGTGGAAGTGCTGTGGCTTCAACCATCAAAGCAGGACACAGAGCAGGCTCAGCCAGGGGGGCTGATTTTTACCTTCAGCTGGATTTCTTGTGCTTGTTTCTCTATTTTTTGTTCCAACAGAGAGATTTTTTGCGTCATGGAGGGTGTGAGCTCCACCACGGGGGACACGAGCTCCGTGTCGGTGTGAGCTGCACCTGGAGGCACAAATACCTGTTACCTCTCTGAAATGGGGGGTACACAGGGGGCCCCCACACCAGAATTCCTGCTCTGCCACAGCAGGGAGGACGAGGATATTTTTTGGGGGTAAGGGGGTGGCTGTGTCACCAACAGCACGTTGTGTAGGCGAGAGGGGGACCACAGAAATTAGGTCTGGCCTGGGAAACTGTCACTGAGAAACTCAGAACCCCCTAATAATTGAGGGACTTTACCCTCCATGTTCCTTTTCAGTGTTGTCCCTTGGAGCAGGAGGGGAGGCTGCCTTGCACTGGATTCCTGGTCCTAGGAGACAGCCTGGCATCTTCTGAGAAGGGGCACGGAGAGCATGGAAGGAAGAAAAACAGGTCAGCGTTTGGATACAACTTCTCCAAAAGCAGGGAAAGAAACATCAGGCTTGTGCTGAAGGGAAAGCAGGTGGCCTGGGCGTTCAATCCCATGAGTATTCCCAAATTCCTGAGCGTGTGTGGGCACTTGATACGAGACAGGAATATGGGAAGGTACAATCAGAAACAGCAAACTTTAATGGGAGTGAAAAGTGAGGGTTTGCTCTGAAAGCTGGTGGGGAGGATGTGACCTGAAGTGGAACTGCAAAAATAGGTGACGTCTTGTTGTGCTCTAGGGCTCGTTGAGGATGTGGAAGCCTGTTGATTCTTATCTGATTTTGGGCAGTTGTAGGAGAGAGAGAGCAGAGAGAGAGAGCTATGGTCATTGCAAAATGTGTAGGGTGGTAAGAACTGCCTCGCCTGTGAAGGCAATGAACTTGGACAGCTCTGCCCTTTCAGTAAAAATAAGAGGGGATAATACATAAAAATAAAGCACAGGCTCATTAACTTTGGGGGGGTTTGCTTGATGGGTGAATTTTTAAAAATATAGTTGAAAAAACTGTCTAAAAAAGCCTAAACTGTACATTTTTCTCATCACCCCAGCCCGTGCACCGGGGCAGGGTGGGCTGTTTGAGGGATCGTGGGCGAAAAGAGGCTCGAAATAACGGGGGTCACCAGGTACCTCCAGGGGGAGGTGACTTTGGGGGGGGGGGGGGGTCGAACTTGGGGGGGCCCGACGGGGGCGGCAGCGTCGGGGGCACCCGGCGTGTGCTGGGGGGGGGTCCGGGGGGTGGGGGGGACCCTCGGGGGGGATCCCCGAACCTCGGTGGGGGTTCCCCGCGCCCCCTCCCGGACCCCCAAGCACTCACCCACCCGCCGCCATCTTGTTTACAGGCGGTTGCCATGGCGACGAGGACCCCGGTGCGATTGGCTCAGAGCTGGTCACGTGGTGGGTAATACATCCCAGGGCCTACAAGTCCCAGCATGCACCGCGCGGCGCCCCCGGAATGGGACTGGGAATAGGACCGGGATGAGATGGGCAGTGAGTCCTGCTTCCCTCCCTTGCCTCCCTCTGCACATCCTCTGTTTCAGCTCATAGACATCGGCCCGAACCGAAGCACCTCCCGCTGTGCAGCTCCTCCTGATTCCCTCTCCTGTTGCTTTGGTTTCGCTCTTCTCGCCTGGGCACCTCTTGTTTTGCCTCACTGATGCCCTGAACTCCATCCAGAACTTGCTGCCGTCCCGAGAGCCTGTCTTGTGTGTCTCCCACCCCACCTGCTGCCACTGAGCCAGCTGAAGCCTAGCCCGTTTTACCCCCTTTTATGGGGTGCTCATAGAATCACAGGACTGGTTTTGGAAGGGACCTCAAAGCCCACCTCATTCCACCCCCTTGCCATGGGCAAGGACACCTTCCACTAGACCAGGCTGCTCCAAGCCCCGTCCAAGCTGGCCTTGAACACTTCCAGGGATGTTGGCTGTGCACAGAGAGACTTTCAGTTTGAAACTTCAACAAAGTGCGAAAACGAGCTAAATTTGTTGAAGCTTTGCTGCAGAGGAGCCCTCAGCTCTGGGCGGAAGCTCTTCATGAAGCGCTTCACCAGCACAAACCCAGACAGCAGGTGTATGTGCTTGGCACATTTCAGTAACTTTATTCATTTCAAACCACCTTAAAATAACCAGATCCCTTTTTTGTCTCCTGGTGCTGCAGTCGAGTCGCTGAGGGAGCCCAGAGATCTGCTGTGAGGAGGTGGATATTGGGGGGGCAGAAGGAAGCATTTCCCTGATCCCTTACCTGGATCAGACTACCCTGGGTGTGTCACTGAAATTCAGAGGGACACCTTGGCCTCAGCTTCACACTGGGGGAAGGAGGTTTGTGACATGGTTCAAACACTGGCTGTGACTTGCAAACCCTCCCAGTGATCCATGGAAGGTTTCAGCCACTCCTCAGTCCTTTGTGGGTGTGAGGACAGAGAGGCCCCATGCAGATGCAGAGCTCAGCCTCAGGGGTTTCATGCTGGAGGTGGTATCTGGGGATGTGGCAGAGCCAGGGGCTGCAGACAGTGGCCAGGACATCCCTTGGAGCTGGCTGTGTGGCTGTGCCAGGGAAGACAGAGCAGGAGCTGCTCTCATGGCAGGGGATGCGGGTGAAAAGCTCCAGGGACTCGAGGCTGAAAGGGTGGAGATCCCCCACACCGTGTCTGGCACCTTCTTCCTTCCAGCGCCATCAACAGACACGACTTCCCCAAATTGAGTTGAGCAGCCTTTTGGAGAAGGGGGTTGTGATTGGTGAGACGGAGCCAGCGCTGTGCTTAAAGCCTCGGGGCAGAGGAGGAAGTGTCAGGCACACGGAGAGCCCCGCGAGCCCCGACCATGCGGTCCCTGCAGCGCGTCCGCCCGCTCCTCCTGCTCGCCCTGTTCGCCCTCTGCATGGTAAGGCCGGGGCTGTGGTAGCCCAGGCAGCTCTGTCCCAGGGGTGGGGGGCAGCCCTGGGTTCAACCAGTGAGGTAATTTCTGCTTTCAGTTGGGAACATCAGTGTTTAATTTTCTATCTGACTCTAACTGCCGTGATGGACCGGGAGCTTTGCGCTGTGGTCTGGAAGGTCTAAAATACTTCCATATGTTGATTTTTTTTAAAGCATTTCTTTAACTTGAGAGTATCATCCACATCCAAAACCTTCACCCTGAGCTCTCCAGCCTCCCCTTTGCGTGCTGGCCCCGTGCCTGGTGTGGGGATGCTGAATGTGGCTCACTGGAGATGCCGGGCACGGCCGTGGGGATCCTGGGTGGGCACACGTCCGTGGTTTCCTCTTGCCTCTCCCCACTGGAGGTTGTTTTCCTTCCCACTGGGAGGCTCTGAGTGCTCTCCTGGGTGGGGAGTGTTGCATGGGAGGGAAGGTCATGATGCTTTTGGGGGGTACAATGCTGTTTGGAGCAGCTTTTGGGATGTTTTTTTTTTGCCCCTCCAATGTGTTGGTAACAGGGACAGATCTGTCTGTGGTTATTTCACTCATGAACTTCCATGCAGCTGCAACCCTGCTGTTGGCTCCACAGGGTGTATTTCCATTTTGAGATTCCCCCTCTGTGGCTGGGTGAACCAGCCAAAAACCCTCAGGGGTGTTGGGGCCCCATCCTTGACCCTTTCCCAGCTCTGGAGGGACCCTGAGGAGGGCTGTGAGGCAGCGTGGGGACTGTGTGTTTTACAGTGGGAAACAGCATCCCTTTTCCAGCAGCAGGGCAGTGTTAGAGACGGAAGGAAAGTGCCCTGAAATCACCATCCCAGCTGCAACCTCCCTGCTTGCAACAGCCCGGGGGTCCCTCTTCCCCCTACCCCTCTCCTCCAGCACGGGTGTTTCCAGCTCTGCTCCCACACCCCAACCTCTTCCGTTCAGGGCACGTGTCCTGCCACCTTCTTGCCACTTCCTCGCAGCAGAAAGAGGGGCAGAGGCCACTCCCTGGCTCCTGCTTCTCCCCCTAATTTTTTTAAAACCCCCCTCTAGAGCCAGGACAAGGATTCGAGGGAGAGCTCGCTTCCCACCCTGTGCTGGGAAAACCCAAAAGCCAAGAGTTTGAGCGTGAAGGAGAACCTGCCGTGGGACAGGAGGACGTTTGTCCTGCCTGGCACGGGGCAGTGTGGGCTCTCGGGTGCCCCAAGTCCATTTGCCCCTGAGTCCTTTTGCCCCGGGGGCAGTCGAGTGAGGCTTTCAACCCCTCGCTGCTGTTTGGAAGGGATGCCTGACGCTCGTTTCCTTTCCCAGTCCCTCTGCCAGGCGCAGGGTGAGAAGCAGCCTGCAAAAGATCTTCCGCCCGCCAACGTAACGACCAACTCCAACCTGAGCCCCCCCTGCGGGAGCCCCTCGCTCTTCTCCCTCGCCCTGGGGGTGGCCGCAGCTTTCCTCCTGCATCTGCGCTGACCGGGAGGGGGTCACCGTGCACCTCCCCGGATCCCCCAAGAGGACCCCCAAGGATGGCATCCCCCGCACCGGCAGCACCGCGGCATCGCTCCCATCCATCCCTGCCGCCCTCCGCTACCCTCGTCCCGGAATGAGACCCCCCCCGGCCCGGGAGCGGAGCAATAAACGCGCTGGTGTCGAGACCTCCGCGTTGGGGCGGGTGGGTACCGGGGCTGGGGGGGCTTCGTGGGTGGGGGGGCGCAACACCGGCGCCTCGCCAGGGGCTTCAACCCGCGGTTGCCAGGCCTGAGCCGAGACGGGGAGCCGGGGGAGCACGGCCAGGACCCCCCGAGGGTCCCCCGAGGGTCCCCCCGGAGCTTTCCCGGGACCGCCCGAGGGTCCCCCCGGGACCGATCCCGGAGAGGGCGCGGCGCGGGCACAGCGCCCCCTGCCGGCCGGGCGGAGCATCCCCCTCCACGCGTCCTGGCCAATCCCAGGGCAGGGCTCACGCTCCCCACCAATCGGGGGCAGCCAAGCTCCCGCTGTCAGCCAATCGCGGCCCGGTGGGGGCTATATAAGAGTGGGCGAGGAACGCTCTCCCTGTTTGTGACCCGGGGTCGCGGATGGGGAGGAGATGCAGTATATCGGGGCCCCCGCGGTATAACGGGCTTTCGCTTCCTTCAGCGTCCCGCTCCGCTGGGCTGACCTGAACCTGCGGGTTGCTGGTCGTGTGGCTGCCTGTCTTCCTGCCCAAACGGATCTCGGGGCAACTGGGGGCAAGTTTCAGCGTAAAAGATGGATGCTTGATGGTGGCTGTCGCTGAAAGCTGCAGCAACCACCAGCCCGGTAGACACTTGTGATGTGCAGCCCCTGGGGCCTGTCTGTCACCGCGGGACAGCCTGGGGTGATAAGTGATCGCTGTCCCCGTGCAGTGACCCCCCCAAACTGGGGAGCCCAAGCTAGGTTCGACCTGCTCAGCTGGCCCATGCCAGCACCCGTGTCCTCTCCCCAGCCACGAGGGCAGACGTGCTTGTTCTGTGGATTTGTCCCTCTGGCTCTGAGTCACATCCCCGGGGAGCTCCTGCTCTCACCCAGGTGGACAAGACCTCTGTCCCAGGGACATGGAAGATGAGTGACCTGAGCCATAATCCAGCCCTGCATCACAGACAGCAAACGCTGCTGGCTCTGAGCTCACCCTGAGGTCAGCTGCTGGCTCTGAGCTCACCCAAGCCTATGGGTTGGGTTTCTCCCTGAGCTGGAGCTCTTGGGTGTTTCCAAGAGCCTCTGGTGTTTCCAGGGCACAGCTTGGCCAGCACTTCCCATCTCAAAACCCATGGCTATGGAGCTGCCCACGGGCACTAGAGGGCACTGGGATCCCATCCTGGGAGCAGGATTAGGCCCGGGGCTGGGGTGGGGCAAGGTGCTGAGGTGGGAAGGCAGCTGCCAGGCTTTGGGCAGCACAAGGACAAGGAGAAGGACACCAACCACCCAGGCAGAGCTGGCCCAAATGAGAAGGGCTGTATCTTACACACGTACATAAATACAGTTCGGGGGGGGGGGGGATGTTGGTGGGGAGGGGGCTCTGCCGCTCTCCGGAGGGTCCCACACTGGTCATGTCCATGGAGTCCTTCATGAACCACACACGGGGCTCCCTGGGAGGGAGGCAGGGTGGTTCCCCCCCATGATGGAGGGTTGGTGGGCATCCTTCACACCAGCAGCCGGGGCAGAGGGGTGTTTGGGGTGCAGCGTGCACGGGGTCTGAGGCCTCCTGCCCTGCTGTGGGTGTCCCTGTCCTGTCCTGTGGCACTTCTGCAGGCCCAGCCCCTCATAGCACCTGTATGTCCCAGATCTGTGTGGGTCTCTCCTCGGCCATGTCCCAGACAATGGCGTGGTCCCGGTCGTAGGTTCGGCCACCTGCAGAGCAAGGGGGAGGTTTCAGGGGGGCAAACCACACTCCTCATGGTGGTGAAGGGGTGGGCGGCCCATTTTGGGCATCCCTGTAAAAGAGCCCCCTGTGCCAGTGCCAAGGCCTCACCCTTTACATCGAGGACCATGTCCTCGAACATCTGGCTGTGGATCCGTCCCTGAGAATCCACGCTCCAGGTCTGACGTGGCATCCGGGTCTCGGACCACAGCACGGCCTTTGCACCCTTCCCAGCTGGCCCGATGACCTGCAGGCTCATGTTGGGGGCCACCTAAAAAGGGGGGTGGTGGCCAGGTCAGCCCACTCCCTCCATCGCCTCCACCAGCAAAAAGGAGCAGAGCCCAGAGGGGTGTCCCTGCAAATGCTGCTGGTTCTGGGGTGGGATGTAGGATGAGCAGGACAACCCCTCAGTGAGAAGTAGGGATGGTGAGGATGACAAAACCTCTGCAGGGAAGGCAGAGACACCTTCATGTCTCCAGAGGAGACTTGGGGAGGAGAATCACCCCATCTTTGGGGGCAAGGTTGAGGTCAGACAATTGGAAAAGCTGCTGTAAACCCTAAAAGATGGCTGTGGGGTGGGGAGTACCCCAAAGGGAGTCCTGCCAGGGGCTCCCCCGGTCCCCTCTGTGGCTCTGGCTGTCACACCTGACCTGGTTTTTGATCAGCCCATCCTCGTAGTACCAGACAGAGCTGCTCTGCTCCCTCAGGCTGGAGACCACCACCCGCCCTGCCTTCATGTCCTCCACGTCGTCAGGGACCGCGAGGTAGAGCTCCAGCTCCCTGCTCCTGATGCGGAAATAGATCCGTCTCTGCAAAGAGAGAAACCTTTCTTTTTGCACCCAAAAAGCCCTGCTGCCTGTACCTCAGGGACCTCACCTGGCCAGGGCCTTGGGAAGGGAGGATCCTGGACTCCATTGTCCTCCCCCCAGGAGATCCTCACCCCTCCCCAGGGCGATGGCTGTGACCGTGACCTGTCCCTCGTAGCTGGTGCAGGCACGGCTCACCACACCAAAATGCCATGGATTTTACAAGGCAGTTGCCCACAGGGAGTGTTTCACCACCAAGGCAGCCACTCCCAGGGAGGGGGACAAGCATCTGAGGTGACAGTGCCAGGCTGGTGGCACCTTTCACGTGTCAGAGCTGTCAGCTCCATGCCGCTGCTCTCCAGGCTCCCCCAGCCCGCTCGGAGCAGGCTGGCAGCTCTTTAGCTCCATGTGAGCCTGGGGTTTTGGGGTTCACCTGCCCTGGGATTTTGGGGTTCACCTCGCCATTTGCCAGCACCCTGCCCCATCCCAAAGGTGACACCCACCTGGCGGATGGGGTAGAGGGACCCCACGTGCTGCAGCCCACTGTAGGTCAGCCAGTTGGTGATCTCAGTGCAGTCCAGCAGCCACTGCCGCCCTCGGAAGTCACCGTGCTCGCACAGCACCCAGCTGTGGGGACAGGATGGGACAGGACAGGTCACCCCAGGGGGGCAGAGGACACCCACTGGGTGCTGGAGGAGTGGGGCTGGGGGCTCACTTACATCCCGCCTTTGACACGCACGGACAGCACGTGGTTGTTGAAACCCTCCGCCTGGAGACTCCGCACTTCGGAGTTCAGCTCGATCTCCTTCCCCTCGAAACACTCCAGCCCGTGCAGGAAGATGGAGGGCTCCGAGAAAAACTGTGGGATGGTGGGGAGAGATGGGGTGGGAAGGGGGGAAGAGTGAGCACCCCATGGGGGCAGGAGGGCTCCAGGGATGGAGAGCCAGGACAGGGGATGCCTGTGGGAGGGGAAAAAGGTCCTGGGGGGTTTGTGCTATGGGGAAGGGAAAGGAGAAGAGAAAAGAGAAGGGCTGTTACTCACCAGTGGAACCTTCCTCAAGGAGCGGATGGTGGTGGAGCAGAGGCAGCCCATGGCACTGAGTGTGGGGTACTCACCCTCAGACAGCACATGCTGCTCCCCCGCGAAGTCCTGCCCATCAAACAGGATCCAGCTGGCAGGGAAGAGTGTGCCCAGGCTGACACGGCCATTGTGGTGGGCATCCATCCCTCCTGTGACCCCCCAGCACTCCCATCCTGCCCACCCTCTGGGGAAGCAGTTGGGGTGATGCCCCTGTTCCCATCCCAGTGGCAGCAGCGAGGCCCTGGGACACCCCACCTGCCCCCACGGACTCTGCAGGAGCGTGGGATGAAGGCGTCGGGCAGGGCTCCCTGGTCCTCCTCAAAGGCAACATGATCCCCCGAGAAGTCAGGATCTGAGAAGAGCAGGATCTGGGAAGGGGAAGCAGAAGGGCTTGTTGAGGGGGTACAAAGCATCACCACCACCCCACAGGGGACCCCATCCCCCAAGGGGGGGAACATCCCCCTCCCCATCCGCCGCTCCTGACCTTGGAGACGAAATGGAGGTTGTGTTCCCTGACCTGGAAGCAGACAGAGCGGGGCTGGTGGGTGTCCAGCCTGGGCCCCCGCACCAGCCCTGCGTGTGGCAGCAGCAGGGGTGCTGTGGGGGACGGGGGTGTCCCACTCCCACACTCCCACCTGCAGGATGGGCTGTGCCGAGGCGATGCGGCAGTCGGTGGCACCCCAGTCCTCGCAGTTGCGGTACACCCCCTTCTCCAGGATGTACTGCTCGCCCGAGTAGTTGGTGCCCCCGTAGGCCACCCACCTGCCAGGAAAAGGTGAGTGCTGGCTCGTCCCCACCCTGGCCAGTCCCCCCAGCCCCTCTCTGCCCCGTCCCTGCACTCACACGCCGCTCAGCACGTGGATGGACTGGGTGACGGTGCCATAGCCGGCCAGCTGCGTGTCAGGGAGCGCCTCGCTCAGCTCCACACTCGGGCCCTCCTCGAAGTCCATGGCCTCAAAGAGGACCAGTGCCGGGTCAGAGAAGTCCTGCAGGGAGAAGAAGCGCCCCCCAAGCCCCTTGGTCTGTCAGGGGAAGGGGCTGTGGGCCGGGCACACACACAGCCAGGGTCCTACCTGGCCTCAGGAACACCAGGGAGGGTGGGAGCAGCTCCCAAACCTCTGAGTTTGTGGGATCTCAGGCCATGCCCAGTTGCATGATGCAGGTAAGAAAGGCTCCCTTTTGGGAAATGAGGGTGGGATGGGGGTGCCTGGCTCTCCCTGCCCATGCTGGGTCCATTCCCAAGTGGTGCCACCATCCCTGCCCTCACCGTCCGTATCAGTCGAAGGGACACCAACTCCTTGCTGTAGCCACCCCACTGCCTCCAGTCCTGGTATTCCCCTTCCTCCAGCAGGTACTGGTGTCCACGGAAGCCTTCCTTCTCATAGCCAAC